TTTGTCAAGCTACAAGTGGTCTTAAATGCATTGATGAATGTGATCTTCCTGGAAGACTCAAAGTGTGGTGCGCACAGTTTGTGCTGTTTCCAAGACTAATATGGCCCCTTAAGATGTACAACATATCCATGTCAACTGTGGATCAGATCGACAGGAAAGCCAATTCCTACTTTCGGCGGTGGTTAGGTGTACCAAGATGTCTGTCAACAGTGGCATTGTTTGGCGACAACATGTTAAGCCTTCCGCTTTCATCCATTGCAGAGGAATACAAGGTGGCCAAAGTTCAACTTGTTCTGGAGTTGGAGGAGTCTCAAGACCCAGCAGTGAAAGCGGTAAACACGAACATCAGCACTGGCAAGAAGTGGAGTGCTAAAGAGACCATTAGCCAAGCAGTTAGCCAACTACAACATAAAGACCTAGTGGGTGCAGTCCAGCTGGGAAGAACCGGTCTTGGATGGGGGGAGCGAACACACCGGTGGTCCAACGCCAACTCCAGAGAAAGGAGACAGCTGGTAGTACAGGAAGTGAGAAGGATAGAGGAGGAGAAGAGAAGAGTGGTGGCGATTGGTCAGAGCCAGCAGGGTGCGTGGACAAACTGGGACGGAGCGGTAGAGAGGAGACTTAAGTGGAGCGATGTGTGGAACATCCAGAATGCCAGACTGAGCTTTCTGCTACGGGCAGTCTATGATGGTTCTTCCCAGTCCCAGAAACCTCACCCGTTGGTTCAAGAGTGAAGAGTCCTGCCAGCTGTGTGGTATTGAACAAGCAGACTTGAAGCACATCTTGTCTAACTGCTCAGTTGCATTACAACAAGGCCGTTATACGTGGAGACATAACAAAGCTCTCCGTCAAATTGCAGTAACTCTAGAGGAAGTGAGGAAGGAAACAGCAGGAACAGACTCACCACTACAGCCAATCCAGTTCGTAAGAAGTGGGCAGCAGCCCTCAGGGGCAACCAGCAGTAGGAGCAGAACAGGAGGTGGCCCATTATGTAGAGGAGTGTGGAAAATGAGCGTAGATCTCGACAGGCAGCTGCATTTCCCAAGTAGTATCTGCGCAACGACATTGAGACCGGACCTTGTCCTGTGGTCAGAGGACCAAAAGTCAGTGTTGATAGTAGAACTAACGGTTCCTTGGGAAGAGAACATTCAGGTAGCTTTTGAAAGGAAGAAGACAAGATACGAGGAACTGGTCCAGCAGTGTAGGCTGAACGGCTGGAAAACTCAGCTCTACCCAGTAGAAATAGGAGTTCGTGGGTTTGCAGGGTCATCACTACTGCGGCTATGCAGAGACCTCCAGATCCGAGGGAAGGCACAGGCCCAGCTTGTCCGCCGTGTGTCTGAAGAAGTGGAGAAGAGTAGTTTTGTGATTTGGCTAAGAAGGAAGGATAAGAACTGGAAACAGACATCCCAGAAGTAGAGACGACTGTACAGGAAGTAGGATGGAGACGTCCACCCTACTGTCCCACCGCCCCGAGGTGTCTTAGATGTAAAGGGACGAAACACCAGTGAAGGCCGGAATCTAACTGACGATCCGGTGCAGTCGCCTCAGTGATGCTGGAAAGCATGTCATAGTCCAGCAGGTTAGTGTCAACCTGTATACCTTTTGTATCTTTAAGCACACTTTTTCTCAAGGTGGCGATATTATGGACCCTGGTGATATTATGGACACGGATGTTACCACTTACTAACAATGGTCAATAAACAGCAACTGTCGACAACAGAGACAGTCTTCAGGGCAAGCCGGTGGGAATTCAAGACTTTTCTTTTTACTCACATGTTTATTTTACTGTGATTGGTCAGCAGGATGTGCCTAACAAACTTTTCTGTGCTGTGATTGGTTGTTAGGATGTGACTAACAGATTTCCTGTATTCTGATTGGCCGTTAGGGTGATGGGCTGTTCCCGGCAGAGTACCACGCGGAGGCGCTGTGATTGGGTCGTAGGATGTGCCTAACAGATTTCCTGTGTTCTGATTGGCTGCAGGGCGCAGGGCTGTTCCCAGCAGAGTACCATGTGGACGCACTGATTTCCTGTTCTCTGATTGGATATTAGGGCACGGGGCTGTTCCCTGTGGAGTTGCTGTGATTGGTTAATAGAATGTAAGTAACAGATTTCCTGTTCTGTGATTGACCGTTAGGGCGATGGGCTGTTCCCGGCAGAGTACCACGCGGAGGCTTTGCAGCACGGGCAGAACATGGCTCCGCTGGACCTGAACCACACCCACTTCATCCTGGTGGACGACGGAACAACCGGCAGGTTCAGCGGCGCCGACATCAGCGTCAGGACTCGCCTGGAACAACACATCATGGAGCAGACCACAGGCGAGGGGCTGAAAGGTGGGACAAACAAACAAACAAACAAACATCAGGGTCCGCACACCGCTGGAACAACACATCATGGAGCAGACTACAGGCGAGGGGCTGAAAGGTGGGACAAACAAACAAACAAACAAACAAACATCAGGGTCCGCACACGGCTGGAACAGCACATCATGGAGCAGACTACAGGCGAGGGGCTGAAAGGTGAGACAAACAAACAAACAAACAAACAAACAAACAAACAAACAAACAAACAAACATCAGGGTCCGCACACGGCTGGAACAGCACATCATGGAGCAGACTACAGGCGAGGGGCTGAAAGGTGAGACAAACAAACAAACAAACAAACAAACAAAAATCAGGGTCCGCACACGGCTGGACTAAGAACACAGACAGTAGTGACCAATCAGCACCAAGGACAGCAACACTGGTGACCAATCAGCACTAAGAACACAGACAGAAGTGACCAATCAGCACTAAGAACACCAACAGTAGTAACCAATCAGCACCAAGGACAGCAACACTGGTGACCAATCAGCACTAAGAACACCAACAGTAGTAACCAATCAGCACCAAGGACAGCAACAGTAGTGACCAGTGATTGATTGATTGATTGATTAATTGATTGATTGAGTTATTGATTGATTGATTGATTGGTCGATTGATCTGTTGACAGACCTGAAGATCCCGGTTGTGCTACTCGTGGTAGAGGGGGGTCCGGGGACGCTGAAGAACACGAAGGAGGCGGTGGAGAAGAAGATTCCGGCTGTGATCATCGACGGCAGCGGCCGGGCGGCCGACGTCATCGCGTACGGCTTCAAACGCACCCGCAAGAAGGACAAGTGAGTATCAGCATAGACAGGAAGCAAGAAGGACAAGTGAGTATCAGCATAAACAGGAAGCAAGAAGGACAAGTGAGTATCAGGCATAGACAGGAAGCAAGAAGGACAAGTGAGTATCAGCATAGACAGGAAGCAAGAAGGACAAGTGAGTATCAGGCATAGACAGGAAGCAAGAAGGACAAGTGAGTATCAGCATAGACAGGAAGCAAGAAGGACAAGTGAGTATCAGCATAGACAGGAAGCAAGAAGGACAAGTGAGTATCAGCATGGACAGGAAGCAAGAAGGACAAGTGAGTATCAGCATAGACAGGAAGCAAGAAGGACAAGTGAGTGTCAGCATAAACAGGAAGCAAGAAGGACAAGTGAGTATCAGCATAGACAGGAAGCAAGAAGGACAAGTGAGTGTCAGCATGGACAGGAAGCAAGAAGGACAAGTGAGTATCAGCATGGACAGGAAGCAAGAAGGACAAGTGAGTATCAGGCATAGACAGGAAGNAGGAAAACGTTTTTTTATGAACAAATTCATTTGTTTGCAGTTACTAACATTGCCCAGCAGGATGTACCTAACAAATTGTCTTTGCTGTGATTGGTTGGTTGGTTCAGAATTATATGTACATAATTGCTTTTCTGTGCTGTAATTGATCAGAAGGATGTACCCAACCAACTTTTCTGTGCTATAATTTGTCAGCAGAATATGCCTAAAAAGTAACTAATTTTCTGTGCTGTGATTGGTTGGCAGAATGTGCCTAACCTAGCTATAGTTTGCTGTGTTGTGATTGGCCGTTATGGCGCAGGGCTGTTCCCAGCAGAGTAGCACGCAAACGTGCTGTGATTGGTTGGTAGCATGTGCCTGAAAGATTTCCTATGCTGTGATTGGTTGGTAGGATGTGACTAACAGATTTCCTTTGTTCTGATTGGCTGACAGGGTACAGGGCTGTTCCCAGCAGAGGTGATTGGTTGGGAGAATGTGCCTAACCAGATTTCCTGTGTTCTGATTGGTTGTTAGGATGTGCCTAACCAGATTTCCTGTGTTGTGATTGGCTGCAGGGCGCGGGGCTGTTCCCGGCAGAGTACCACGCCGACGCACTGATTTCCTGTTCTCTGATTGGATATTAGGGCTTGGGGCTGTTCCCTGTGGAGTTGCTGTGATTGGTTAATAGAATGTAAGTAACAGATTTCCTGTGTTCTGATTGGCCGCAGGGCGCGGGGCTGTTCCCGGCTGAATACCACGCGGAGGCTTTGCAGCATGGCCAGAACATGGCTCCGCTGGACCTGAACCACACCCACTTCATCCTGGTGGACGACGGGACAACCGGCAGGTTCAGCGGCGCAGACATCAGCGTCAGGACTCGCCTGGAACAACACATCATGGAGCAGACCACAGGCGAGGGGCTGAAAGGTGAGACAAACAAACAAACAAACATCAGGGTCCGCACACGGCTGGACTAAGAACACCAACAGTAGTAACCAATCAGCACCAAGGACAGCAACAGTAGTGACCAGTGATTGATTGATTGATTGAGTTATTGATTGATTGATTGATTGATCTGTTGACAGACCTGAAGATCCCGGTCGTGCTACTCGTGGTGGAGGGGGGTCCGGGGACGCTGAAGAACACGAAGGAGGCGGTGGAGAAGAAGATTCCGGCGGTGATCATCGACGGCAGCGGCCGGGCGGCCGACGTCATCGCGTACGGCTTCAAACGCACACGCAAAAAGGACAAGTAAGTATCAGCATGGACAGGAAGCAAGAAGGACAAGTACGTGTTAGTACAGACAGGCTCTGGTGTGTCGGATTAGGGACAAGTTAGTACAGACTGGCTCTGGTGTGTTGGATTAGGGACAAGTTAGTACAGACAGGCTCTGGTGTGTCGGATTAGAGACAAGTTAGTACAGACTGGCTCTGGTGTGTCGGATTAGGGACAAGTTAGTACAGACTGGCTCTGGTGTGTTGGATTAGGGGCAAGTTAGTACAGACTGGCTCTGGTGTGTTGGATTAGGGGCAAGTTAGTACAGCCACAAGACAGACAAGTACTTGTTAGTACAGACAGTGTCGGATTAGGTAGCACAGACTAGTTCTGGTGCTTTAAACTTATCCGCATGAAGGACAAGTGAGTGGGAGAATACATGCAGGAGCTCTGGTGCATGTATTGGATTCGGGACAACTTAGTGGGGAGAATGAATTGAGCATTTGGGACTTTTGCAATGTTAACACCATACTGCAGCTTTAAGGAGAGGTCTAAGACATAATGTTGTACCAGGCTCACATGTTAAGGAGGATCTAAGAAATGTCTGTCCTTCCAGCAAACCCCTGACGATGGAGTAGGTCGGTAAGAAGCTGATATGTGTGAGTTTGTGTGCATGTGTAGTTTGTGTGTGCGAGTGAGTATGTGTGTGTTTTTGTGCATGTGTAGTTTGTGTGTGCGAGTGTGTGTGTGAGTATGTGTGTGTGTGTGTGTTTGTGCATGTGTAGTTTGTGTGTGTGTAACACCATACTCAGGAGAGATCTACGTCTGTCCTTCCAGTAAACCCCTGACGATGGAGGAGGTCGGTAAGAAGCTGATGTCGACGTTTGAGCTGGATTATGACTCGAGCGGGGAGCCTCCGCCAAAAGCCTTCGAACTGCTGGACCAGCTGAACTACATACTACAGGACCCCAGTCTGGTGAGTACAGCCTAACCCTTCAACCCTGACCCTTCAACCCTAACCTTTCAACTCTGACCCTTGAACCCCAACCCTTCAATCCTACTCTTCAACCCAACCCTTTAGCCCTAATTCTTCAGCCCTAACCCTTTAACCCTAACCCCGCAACCTTAACCTCTCAACCCTAACCCCTCAACCCTTAAACCCCTCAATCCTAACCCCGCAACCCTTACCCCTCAACCTAACCCTTCAACCCTAACCTTTGTGTGTGTGAGAGAGTGTGTGTGTGTGTGT